GCACTTGACTGCTAACCAGAAGGCTGGCGGTTCAAACCCACCAGCCACTCCTTGGAAGGAAGGTTGGGCAATCCTACTTCCGTAGTGATACTGCCTGGGAAACCCAAGGAGGGGTCTCAGGGCAAAATAACAACAACAATTTGGTTACTCCACTTACCTGTTTTAACTCCTTGAAGTTGTATCGTTTGTTTCATATTGGCATGATTTTGCAACAGTCTGGCAATTATGTTTATCTTAAGATAGTATTCAAATACTTAAAATGGTTCTGAATGTCCTAACATTTTTGATCAGTAAATTTGAAATTGGCAGGAAATACTGTGATAATTTAGCACTGTTTCCAGTTTTCAATTAAGATCGGAAATAAAATTTATTCTGAAATGGAAATTTAGAATATTTGTTTTAAACTAAGAATGATGTTTTAAATTACATGAACAATTCAGCTAAGATTATTCTATTCCATATAAAGTGGGAACATTTTCTTCTCATTCTTTACATATGCAGCGAGTTTAAAAATTTCACTCTGGGATTTCAAGTTTATATAGCAAAACTCGAAAAACCAAACTCACTGCCATTGAGTCAATTCTGACTCATAGCAAACCTCATTGGGTTTTCAAGGATGTAAATCTTTACGGAAATAGTTCGCGCTATCTTCCTCCCATGGAGCAGCTGGTGGGTTTAAACTGTGGACCTCTGGCTGGCAGCCACATACCTACTCACTATTCCACCAGAGCTCCTTAAAGTTTATAGTTACTATAAAATGTTTAAAACTTGGGGAAAGAATTTTGTAACATTTAAATTAGCAACATTTGTTTCATTGATGAGTCTTAATTTTTGTATTATTACTATTAAGTTGCTATTAGTGTGGCTTAGTGACCAGTGGAAGAAAAGATCTTTTTAAGTTTTACAGAATCTGTATGTTTTAAAACTTAGGGAGAGAGCTCCTGTTTTGTCTTAATGCATTTTTCTCCCTAATATTCTCTTTGCAGGATAATTTCAAACTAATGTGCACTAATGCCATGATTTACAACAAGCCAGAGACCATTTATTACAAAGCTGCAAAGAAGCTGTTACACTCAGGGATGAAAATTCTTAGCCAGGTAAAGGAAACTCTTTGTCATAAACACTAATTACTATTCAATCTGTGTCCCTTTGTTTTCTGGTTATAGGGATACACATCTAATACACTACTGTTTTTTTTTTTTTTTTTTTAAATTCTATTAAATCATATTATAGTAGAAAATATTAATGAAAAAATTTTAATAAAGATAAAGATGGAAAGATTCTCGTTTGGCATTGATACCGTTAAATATTGACATTGACTTGTAATTATTTCTTTAGAGGCTTTTGAATTGATATTGGTAGGTCAATGGTTCAAACCCACCAGGTGCTCCACAGGAGAAAGATAGGGCAGTCTGCTTGTATAAAGATATAAAACCTTGGAAAGCCTGTAGGGCAGTTCTGCTGTGTCCTATAGGGTCACCATGAGTTGGAATTGACTTGATGATATAGAGTGGTTTTTTGTTTTTTTTTTTTTCATATACATGGACTGATTTTCTGTGGGCAACAAAATTCTACTGTGGAGGTAACATCAGCTGGTATAAGATTGGATGAATTAGGAGACGTGTTAGGATGAAAACCGTTTTCCTTTGTAGTGATGGAATCTAATGTTCTGGGCACTCCTGTGCTTCTTGGTGAAGCACAGGAACTCCTGTTAGTAGTAAGACAAAATATGCAAATGAGAAGTAATTTGGGATTGTCTTCAAAGCAATCTCTTCTCAAGAACAGAATCTTCCTTAGAGGAGAGGAATTGGTGCATGGTAAGGCAATTAAAGTATGCTACCAGGGAGCTCTAGGAGCTCTGGTAGCATAGTGCCTAAGGCACTTGACTGCTAACCAGAAGGCTGGCGGTTCAAACCCACCAGCCACTCCTCGGAAGGCAGGTTGGGCAATCTACTTCCGTAGTGATACTGCCTCGGAAACCCAAGGAGGGGTCGCTATGAGTCAGGTCCGACTAGACAGCAAACACCACCACCAAAGGCAATTGGGAAAAATGTGTACAGAGCCCCAGACATGACGTTATCAAGTGCCATGAGAAAGCTTAAACATGATGACTTACCTAAAACACTATTGTAGATAGTGGCAAAAAATTACGAGTGTTGGTCCAGAGTGACAACTGTTGAAAGACCTTGAAGGGTAAACTGCGGTGATCACTCTGGATCTGCTGAGGAAAGAGAATTCACAAGATAAGTAGCATTTTTTGAGGTTTTTCTCACAGCTCTGAGTAGGAAGAACTACATTAACGAGTGATATGTAGAAAAACTAATTGAGAGTAATCCTGGTGCCATGTCAGAATATCAGAAGACCTAAGGTTCTGGTCTCTCTTCCACCAACTTACGGGCCTTGGGCAAGACGTTAGCTGTCCTGGGCCTCGGTGTTCACATCTGTAAAGAAGAAGGGTTTCATCTGTGATCTCCAGGAGAGTTGCTAGCAGGAACGTTCTGATTCCAGATAAGAGGTAGACTCAGGAAGAGTCTATTACAAGGAGACGACAGCAAGACAGAGGTGTTTTGCAAAGGAAAGATGAGTAGATGTCAGACACAGGGAGAAGGAGAAAGGAATGGGAAGTAAGAGCTTGAGCTCAGACCCAGAAGAGTTAAAGGGTGATAGAAATGAGTCATGTTTACTTGCATATGGTTTTCCAATTTAGTGATTTTTTTTTAATGATCATCATCATCTCATCAGTACTACAGTTCTCTGTTTAAATGCCTTGATGTGCAGATGTCCGAGTATCTGTGCTTGAGTCTGAAAGATTCTTGGATCTACTTAACTAGAGAAAGAAAAACATTTGGATTGATGATGATTCTTCCATTCCTAATATTTAGACAACATCAGTTCCCACTCTTTCCTGAAGATTTGGGAAACTGTAATGTAATTTAGTTACCCATCTTTGGCAAATTTACAGAGGAACGGGGAATATAAAATGTTTATCCCACTCTTTGCAGGAAGACTTACAGGGCACAGGACCAAGCCACATTCCAGGTTTAAAAACCTGCAAATCCTTGTTATTATTGTATGTTAAGGAAAATACAACCAGTAAATGCAGTCTTTTGTTACTTCAAAATGTGTACATTTTATTTCTGGGAAAGAGTTTAGTTTAAATAGACATAACATATCCAAAGTAAATTTATCTACTTTGATTTACCAGTATTTCTTTTCTTTAAATAATGTAGTTAATGTAACATGCAGAAGATTCCAGTATCTATTCGTTTTTACTGGGAATAGCCAGAAAATATAATTTCTTCTCCACTTTCCCTTTTCTGTTTGTTGTTTTCCTTTTTCTCAGCACTCTTCCTGTTGAGGAGCCCTACCCATCCTGTGTTATAGCTTCCTGTTGACCACTCTCCACCCTGGATGGGAGGGATCCTTACAACACTGATTCTAAAATGTTTAAATTTAGACCTCTGAGCTAACTTTTCAAGTTGCTCCCAAGAGAACCCAGCACACCCTTCCATGAATGGTCTTTTTTTTCTTTAACTTTTATTGTGATTTGGGTGAAAGTTTCTAGAGCAAATTAATTTCCCATTCAACAGTTCATGTGCATTTTGTTTCATGACATTGATTATAATCCCCACAATGTAACAGCTTTCTTCCCACTTCCTCACTATAGTAGTTACCTTTTCCCTGGGTCCATCTTTTTTATGCATTCCTGCCCTCTAAGCTTTCTCCTGCCCTTCTGATTTCCCATAGTTGGTTGTTCTAAGAAGCATACCTGCCTCATGTGATTGTTTATCTTGTAGACCTGTCTGTTGTTTGTCTGAAGGTTAAGCTGCAGGAGTGAGTTCATTTTTGGCCCTTGGGGGTTTCACCGGTCTCACATCAGACCAGTAAGCCTGGTGTTTTGTTTTGTTATCATTTTGAGTTTTGTTCCACATTTTTCTCCCACTCTACCAGGATCTCCAGTTTTGATCATGAATGGTGTCTTTTAAATCATAACTGTTTTTGAATGTTAAGTGTAAAGTTTTTAGAGCACTCATTCATCATTTTTAGTTAAGCCAAATAGTATTACTATTTGTATATATACTTATATATATATATATTTATATATATATATATTATATATATTTGTATATATACTATTAGTAGAGCTGTTATCTTTATTAACAATGGATGTGTAGATTAACTCTTTGATCTCTGATGTAAGTACTTGAGTAGAATGCTGCATTTAACAAGCAATGCTCTAAATAGCATAGTGCCTTCAGAAGGAGACTAAACAGGCTTCATTCTAGTCCTGGCGACCTTAAGTAGGCCATGTAACCTTTCTTAGCCATTATCCTGCCCCGTAAAACAGGGATGATAATAGTACTTACCTCATGAAGTTATGCTTGGTACAAGCATCAGCACTCAGTAAGTGTTAACTATTAATGGCAAAGAACCAGGCACTTTTAGTCATTTAATACTGTAAAATTGATGATCGATAAACAGTATGCTGATTCGGAGAAGTTTTAATTCCCAAAAAAGAAAAAACTTTTCATTGAGAGTAAAATTAATTAAACTCAGTTTTGTCCCTTGACTGTTTCTATCTAAATTTAGAAAATATCTCTTAATTGAATGATTTTAATTTAGTGCATGTTATATTTTTTTAAAAAAAGTCCCAAAATGTTTTTAATGTAGTTTCTGCTTTATAAATTCTAGAATGAGAATAAAATGGTTACTGAAACCCTTGTGCTCTGAGCCCATTCACTTACCCAGTATTTATTATGTAACTACTATGTGCTGAGGAGCCCTGATGGCAGAATTATTATTATTATTTTATTTTATTTTTTTATTAGGATTTGGGTGAAGATTTACAGAGTAAATTCACTTTTCATACAGCAGTTCACATATACTTTGTCTCATGTCATTGACCACAGTTTACCACAATGCAACAGCTCCCCTCCCACTTCCTCCCCATAGTTACCTCCTCCCAGTGTCCATCCCTTCATACTCTTCTGCACCCTGAGCTATCTCCCTGTGCACAAGCAGCCCTTCCTTCTCCCATGATTGTTCTCTCCAGGGCGTGTGTCTACTTGAGGTAAATGTTTAACTCACATGCCTGTACTTTGTTTGGCTGGAAACCACAGTTGTGGGTTCAATTCCAGACCTGAAGGGCAGCTAGGGGCCATAGTCTCAGTGGTTACACCAGGCTCCATTGGACCAGCAAACCTGGTCCCCACCTTCTTTTTTTTTTTTTTTTTTTTTTTTGGGGGCAGAATTTTTAAGCCCTCAACTACTAAGGGAAAACCTCGCTGGTTCAAACCCACCACTGGCTCCATGGGAAATAAGCCTTGGGGATCTGCTCCCATAGAGGTGATGGCCTAGGAAACCCTGTGAACTGTTGTGTTCTGTCCTATGGGGTCGCTGTGAATCAGAGCCAACTTGATGGTACACAGCAGCAATATGCCAGCATGTAACTAGGGATACGGGTGACATACCCAGGTAAAGCGCACATGGCCAGCAGACAGTCACTGAAATAGCTACCTCATTAATATTTTTAAACTATGTATTAAAATAAGATATTTTTTAAAATAGGCACTTTTTTTTAAATGATGCTGTTCAGTTTGATTAGGATTCAGGGAACTTCTCAAATACTGATGAAACTTTCAAACACTGATACAAACAACCCTTTCCGGAAGGCAGCTTGACCAATAAGTTTCAAACCTTGAAAATACTCATTTCCTTTAACATAATGTTTCCACTTCTAGAAATTTCTCCTAAAGAAATAATCGGAGATTCCTAGAGCTGTATATTTGCAATAATGTTCATGAGACTTATAATAGTGAAAACGAGGAAATAATCTAAATGTCCAACAGTAGGATGTTAATTAAATCATGGCATATAAATAGGATGGAATATTCTATGGTTATTGAAAGAGATTTAAGGACTACTTAATGGTATGGAAGGAAAATGCTTGTTAGCAAAATTCAGTATAATTCCTATTTGCTAATATGTTTACTCCTTAGAAAAATGCTAAAATGCTTAACCTGTTAACTCTGTTCCTCTCTAGATGATAAGTTAACAATATGTCTGTTTCCTTATTTATCCATATTTTTGTCTAAATAAAATATATTACTTTAATAATGGTAACATTGCTTCAAACTAAAATAGTAGGTCTAGGCTCTCTCAGGGTTCTCCCAGTCTTGTTGTTGTTGTTATATGCCGTCGAGTCAAACCCGACTCATAGCGACCCCGCCTTGGGTTTCCGAGGCAGTATCACTATGGAAGTAGGATTGCCCAACCTTCCTTCCGAGGAGTGGCTTGTGGGTTTGAACCGCCAGCCGTCTGGTTAGCAGGCAGGTGTCTTAGCCACTATGCTACCAGAGCTCCCTCTCCCAGTCTTAGGGCTGTGCTATTGATGTAATTTTATGTGATGAGAAAAGACCTGTCATGAGAGACAAGAGGCCTAGTCTTAGCCACTGGTGCACTGACCTTAGGTGAGTCATCTAGCATTTCTGGGCTACATTGTTTTTATTTGAATGACCTCTCATCATCCTTTCCAGTTCTTAGTTTATATTATTCTGCAACTTTTTCTTCTCTGCTGTTCCTGTGCAGTCCTAAGGAGGCGGCACTACACTCCATGTTTTGTCCCATGACAACTCTCAATGTTAAAAGGCAGAGTAGTTAGTAGGAACAAATCTGCCTCTTTAAAATTGGTCCAGAAACCTCAAGCTCTTAACCACGAAGACAATTTCACAGTGTATCATTGCAGTGGAAAGTTGAGTACATGTTTCACAATATGGAGACAATACTTCTTCAGTTAGTAATGTCCCAGAGGAAGGTGGCAGAGTCAAGTTGAAAATTAAAAGTAAAGAGCTTTTTTTAAGAGACAAGACAATTTGCAAATTAGAAATCACAGAGTCCAGAGGGTTCTGAACTAAGTGATCCAAAGAGACAGTTCAGGGAGTTTATACAAGAAAATTAAAAGAAATTGAGAAAAAAAAATCAGTGATTGGTTGACATTCAGGTAATGATTACAAAATTGGTCAGAGATTACATATGTTTCTAAAGTTATTTCTTAAAAGTTATATTGTTGTTTTTGTGTGCCATCAAGTCAGACCAGACTCATAGAGACCCCTCCTTCGGTTTCTGAGGTGGTATCACTACAGAAGTAGATTGCCCAACCTTCCTTTTGAGGAGTGGCTGGTGGGTTTGAACCGCCAGCCTTCTAGCTAACAGTCAAGTGCATTAGGTACCACACTACCAGAGCCCCTATTAAAAGTTACATAGTAATCATTAAATTAAATACATCTGGCCTCCAAACAATCATGAGACCCTACTTTGAGTCCCTACTTGATGGCAGAGAGGATGCCATTAACTCTAAAGGTTGTTTGGAATAAACGTGTGTTCTGAGAATTGTTTTGGACCTAGCTTTTTAGGCAGCAAGCAAAACCTGTAAGCAAACAAAATGACATTGTTTTCTGAAATTGTTTACCACATAGTTTTCTCACAGTACAGTGGAGAGTTAAAGGAATGACAAACTACGTTCCTGATGCAGAGGTTACTTCTGATTGAAAACAACAAAGTTTTAGCCTCAGACCCTTAACATAGCCACCTCTCATGTTAGGAGTCTTCCGTTCATTTGGGTGCTCTTACTCAGTGAGAATTTTATGCACTCCGAGGAAGGAACTATGCTAGCAACATTTATTCTCCTCAAGATGTGTTGTTGCCACACACAGAGAAAAATGGCAAAGTCACAGGATATGAGAATATAAAGACACTTCACATGTTCTAGGTTTTAAAATTTAAACCAATAATTCTTCAATTTTGAAAGATAAGACACTCCGTTAAGTATTAACAGTTAAGTATTATTAGACTAAATTTTACTTTTTAAATTCAGTACTTGAAAGAATAAATAGTCTTAATTCATACTTTCTCTTCTGTAAGTTTTCTGATGTGATAAAGTTATAAAATAAAACATCCTCTTAAATTGGAAATTATCCACATTGAAGGAATAGATTTTATTGTCCTGATTTCTAAATGTAATACCCTCTTGATATGCTTGTATTTAATTGGTTTCTTCCCTAATTAATGACAGGATAAATGCAAACTCTTGTGTAGGGGCAAGGGGAAGAATTACTTTAAAAGTTAATGGCAAACATAAAATAAGACTCTTGAATATTCTTAGGAAAGAATTCAGAGCCTGAAGCAGAGCATAGAATTCATGGCAGACTTGCAGAAAACTCGAAAGCAGAAAGATCAAGCAGACACCTCACAGAGTGGGGAGGACAACTGCTGCTGGCCCAGGGAGAAGGAGGACTGTGGAGCTGCTGAGGCCCAGGCGTTCAAAAGCCCCAACAAGGAAAACAAAAAGTAAAAATCTTGGCACATTCAGGTTCTACTATCTTTTTCAAGCTAGTAAGGAGGAAAACTACTCTCCTGACTCAGTCCTGACATGGGAGGACCACATCCTAGCCTGTCAGCAGTGGGTTTTTTGGCACGGTGATCACTGTCATGAAAGTCTGTGTTGATATAGAGTACGTCTCTTATCAGACACAACACTATATGAAATTTCATATACTTCAGAAAAAAAGTTCTGGATATGTATTTTTATTAAAGTAGTTTTAAAATCAATAAGCTATCTTGAAGGACTCGTTGTCAGTGAGTTTAATAGAAGTATGTAAGTTCTTTACCTCATCCTGTAAAAGGAGTTGAGGTAGCCTATGAACATAAGCCCAGTTAAAGCTACCTCCTGAATAGATGGGCTCTCCCTGTGTTGTGTTTTCACTAGCTGCCAGCTGGGAGGGGCAGCCATGAACCAGGCAGCAGTCAGTGTGAGTGAAGAGCAGCCTTGTGGGCCCCCGCATGCACACGTAACAGGCACACACCACGCCTACCAGCTCTGACTGGTAGCATTCTGTCAATTTTGAGGAAAGGGTTTAATTAGCAGTTGGAGATTTCTGCTGTCAAAATTTACTTTTGCAAAGTAACAAATTCATAAATCTTTTTGGATGTCAGCAACTTCTTTTCCTAAGATTTATAAATTTTTAAAAATACATATTTATGTGCCCCCTCCTCCTTCAAAATATGCTAAAGGTATAATTCATTTTTATGACTATACCCAGAAAAATACTAAGGCAAATAAAACTGGGCAAAACAAGAGGGGAGGAGAAACTAAGTAATATATTAGGTTTGTCTTTCTGTGGATACATTATCAGGAGCCCTTTATCAGACCATTAAGAAACACTTTGAGTTGGTGACAGTGTAAGTGCCATACTTTTCACTGCATTCATATTTGGAATTCGTTTAAACATTTTGAACTCATTTTTCTTTCACTACTTGCTTTTCACATGTGTTTTCAGGAAAGACAAAGATCCAAGTGAAGATAAATTTAAAAGCAATACTTTAGATAGAGAACAGGAGCAGATCGACCGCATTGTGAGAGAGTCTGGAGGGAAGCTGAGCAGACGGCTTGTGAACAGTCGGGTAACTCAACTCTTGCCTTTTACTGCCTGCGGACCTTTACCTCTGTCGACTCTTAGGCCAGTGATGTGGAACTTCTAGTTTTTCTTTGTGCATATCCATCCATTTGTTTTTTTAAAACCCCTTTCTGACATGGTGTTCTTCATCAGTGCTAACTCAGAAAAAGAGTAGTAATATATTTATTAGTAAAGTACATGATTACCTCTGTTACTGGATTGATTTACTTTTGTAAGTGAATTCAATATGTCCTAAATTGGGAAACTAACTATATATTTTCAACCTAAGAGAAAACATTTATTCTCTGGATTTTGAAGTCACATTGTTTAGCCCCTTAGTTTTAAAGCCAAGTGCATTAATATTTAACTTTAGATAAATCACTTCCTTTCCCAGGCCTGCAGTATCCTCCTTTATTGAGGAAGATGGCCTTAAAGACCCATGTAGCTCTTTTAAAGTTCTGGGATTTTCTTAAGCTGCATTTCTTTATAGTCTGTCATCAGTGCCTGTAATATGGAGACAGGTGTGAAAGTCAGTGTTTAAGTTGAATGATGATGATGATGATGATGTATTATTAGTTTAATTAAAAACATTCTGGTGTGCTACAGATATGTATGGTATGTATCAGTTTCGTCCATTCAGATACTTTGGGTCATTGCAGTGTGAATTTGAAAGAAGAAAGCCAGATGGGACAACCACCTTGGGGCTTCTCCATCCTGTGGACCCTGTTGTAGGAGGTAGGTTCACAGAGCAGGACTGCATGCACTTGATGCTGTTCGGTAAAGAGCAGTAACCTAGATTAATATTTTAAAGCAGCAGCTGTGTTGTTATCCATTAAGAACTTTACTACGTAGCAGATCACTCATGCTAACAGCTAGTCTTTCACTTCAGCCTTAACTATGTACTATAAATCTAGTTTCCTTTTAAAAGCCAAAAATTTAGGCAAGATTTTGCAGCTCTGTTTTTGGGAAACTAGTGTGCTCAGGAGCTCTGGTAGCATAGTGGCTAAAGCACTTGACTGCTAACCAGAAGGCTGACGGTTCAAACCCACCAGCCACTCCTCAGAAGGAAGATGGGACAATCAACTTCCATAGTGATGCTGCCTCGGAAACCCAAGGAAGGGTCATTATGAGTCGGGTCTGACTCGAAGGCACATAACATAAGTGTGCTCAGATATTTCTGGAGGTGTCTCAGTACCTTCTGATTATGACATAATTTTAACTACCTTCTTAAATGTCAGTGAATAAACTGTTATATATGCCACATAGTACTTTAATAGTAACAAAATATTTGCACTTATGACATTATACCTTGCAGTGTGGTCGGCAGAAAGTTTATAACGGTTCATAATCACTGTTGCAGAGCCTCCATCATATTTTTGTTTTCTCAGATAATGTTTTAATGGAGATAACATCATAGGCAATGTTTTGAAATTTGATAAAAGACTAAGGACCCTTTTTTTTTATCATGTAGATCCATCTGAGGAAAAACATCATGCTTTCTGATAATGCAAAAGTGAGAATGTTTATTTTATAAATACTCATTTTCATTACTATCATTGTGAGAGGTAATTGGGATGCAAAATTGAGTTATGACAAAAAATTTTGTACACTCAAGAATAGTTTCTAATATTCATTGTTTGCCATCAGGTAGGTACTGTGAAGGAACTCTAGTGGTGCATGATGCCTAAGGTACGTGACTACTAACCAGAAGGCTGGTGGTTCAAACCCACCAGCCACTCCTCAGGAGGAAGGTTGGACAATCTACTTCTGTAGTGATACTGCCTCAGAAACCCAAGGAGGGTTCGCTTTGAGTTGGATCTGACTCCACAGCAGTAGGTTTGGGTTTTTTTTAGGTACTATGTTAGAAGCTAGAAATGGAGCTAGGTGTGTAGTAGAGAACAAAACTGGGAGAAGAATGTCCTTTCCCCTTACTTTCTGTGGGAGGAAGAACACAAACAATCACATAGAGAAATACGAACATTTCTAACCATTCATCTGTCAGGTTGTCATACTGTGGTGGCTTGCGTGTTGCTATGATGCTAGAAGCTATGCCACTGGTTTTTGAAATAAATGACCACTGGAAACCTTAAGAATAGCAGGGAAATGATGTCTGATACTGTGCTGGAGGATAAGCCCTCATGTTGGAAGGCACTCAATACAGCTGGGGAAGAGCTGCCTCAAAGTGGAGATGGTCTTAATGATGAGGATGGAGTAAAGCTTTCTAGACCTGCATTTGCTGATGTGGCACAATTCAAAATGAAAACAGCTGCTAACATCAGTTAATAATCGGAACCTTCAATGAATCTACAAAAATTAGAAGTTGTCAGAAATGAAATGGAATGCATAAAATAAAGATCGATGTTCTTGGCGTTAGTGAGCTGAAAGGGACTGGTATTGGCTATTTTTAATTGGACTGTCATGGTCTTCTGTGCTGGGAATGACAAATAGGAATGGCATCACATTCATCATCAAAAAGAACATTTCAAGATCTATCCTGAATTACAGTGCTGTCAGTGATAGGATGAAATCCATATAGGATAATATCCATACATGTACAAGGAGGACCCATGGAGATGTTTCAACAAACAAATGCCACGCTAGAGATACTTAATTGTCTATACCAGGAAATTTGAAACACGGCTACCTGGCCGACTGGAAAAGATCCATATTTGTATGTATTCCAAAGAAAGATGATCCCACAGAATGTGGAAATTATCGAATGATAACATTAATATAACACACAAGTAGAATCTTGCTGAAGGTAATTCCAAAACAGTTGCAGCAGTCTGTTGACAAGGAACTTACAGAAATGCAAGCAGGATTTAGAAGAGGGCATGAAACGAGGGCTGTTATTGCTGATGTCAGGTGGATCTTGGATGAAAGCAAAGAATGCCGGAAAGATGATTACTTGTGTTTCATTGACTATGCAAAAGTATTCCAACTATGTGGATCATAACAAATTATGGGTAACACTGAGAACAATGGGAATTCCAGAACACTTAATTGTGTTCACGAGGAACCTGTAGGGAAATCAGGAGCCTGTTGTTTGAACAGAACAAGGGGATACTGCATGGTTTAAAATCAGGAAGGATGTGTGTTAGGGTTATATCCTTTCACCACAGTTATTCAGTCTGTATGCCAAGCACATAATCCAAGAAGAGAACACAGCATCAGGGTTGGAAGAAGACTCATTAACAACCTGCAATATGCAGATGACACAACCTTGATTGCTGAAAGTGAAGATGACCTGAAGCACTTATTGATGATTAAACACTACGGTCTGCAATATGATTACACTTCAACATAAAGAAAACAAAAATCCTTACAGCTGGACCAATAAGCTGCCTCATGATAAATGGAGAAAAGACTGAAGTTGTCAGAGATTTCATATTACTTGATTCCACAGTCATCACCAATGGAAGCAGCAGTCCATGAAAACAGATGACATACTGTACTGGGCAGATCTGCAGAAAAGCTCTTTAAAGTGTTAAAGAGCAAAAATGTGTTTTTGAAGGCTAAGGTCCACCTAACCCAAGCCATAGTATTTTCAGTCACCTCATATGCATGTGAAAACTGTACAGGGAATAAGACCAAAGAAGAATAAATGCCTTTGACTTAATGGTGTTGGTGAAAAATACGGAAAATACCGTGGACTATGAGAAGAATGAACAAATCTGTCCTGGAAGAAGTGCAGCCAGAATGCTCCTTAGAAGTAAGAATGGCCAGACTTTGTCTCACCTACTTTGGTCATGATGTCAGAAGGGACCATTCCTTGTAGAAGGATATCATGCTTGGTAAGGTGGAGGGTCAGCAAAAAAGGGGAAGGGCCTTAACGAGATGAGTTGACAAAGTGGCTATAACAGTGAGTTCAGGCATAGCAAGGATTATAAGTCTGGCCCAGGACCGGGCAGTGTTTTGTTCTGTTGTACGCAGGGTCACTGTGAGTCGGAGCCAACTCACCGGCACCTAACGGAAGACCAGTTAATATGACTATTATTCAAATTTACATGTCAACCACTAAAGCCAGAGGTGAAGGAATAGAAGATTTTTACCAACTTCTGCAGTCTGAAATTGATCAAACATGCACTCAAGATGTATTGATAAGTACTGGTGATTGCAATGCAAAAGTTGGAAACAAAGGAGAAGCATCAGTAGTTGAAAACTATGGATCTTGGTGATAGAAATGTTGCCAGAGATTACATGATAGAATTTTCTACCTGCAACAACTTACTCATTGCAAATGCCTTTCTTAAAAAAATATAAACGGTGACTATATAGGTGGGCCTCACTGGATGGAATACACAGGAATCAAATTGACTACATCTGTGGAAAGAGACAGTGAGAAAGATCAGTATCAGTCAGAACAAGGGTAGGGGACAACTGTGAAACAGACCATCAGTTGCTTTTGTGCAAGTTTAACTTGAAGCTGAAGAAAATTTAAAAAAATCCATGAGCCAAAATAATGACCTTAAGTATATCCCACCTGAATTTAGAGACCATCTAAAGAATAGATTTGACGCATTGAGTACCAGTGACCGAAGACCAGACGAGTTGTGGGATAACATCAAGGACATCATACGTGAAGAAAGCAAAAGGTTATTAAAAAGACAAAAAAAGGAAGAGAAGCCAAAATGCATGTCAGAAGAGACTGAAACTTGCTGTTAAAAGGAGAGTAGCTAAAGTGATAAAGTAAAAGCTAAACAGAAGTTTCAAAGGAAAGCTCAGAGGACAGAGCAAAGTATTACAGTGGAATGTGCAAAGACTTGGAGTTGGAAAATCAGAGGGAAAGAATATGCTTGGCATTTCTCAAGCTGAAAGAACTGAAGAAAAATTCAAGCCCCAAATTGATGTTGAAGGATAATGTAGGCAAAATATTGAACAATGCAGGAAGCATCAAAAGAAAATAGAAGGAATACAGAGAGTCACTGTGCCAAAAAGAATTGGTCACGTTCAGCCATCTCAAGAGGTGTAGCATGGATCAAGAACCCATGGCATGGAAGGAAGAAGTACAGCACTGAAAAACTGTGGAAGAACAAGTTTCCAGGAATTGACAGAATACGCAGTGAGATGTTTCAGCAAACGGATGGAGCACTGCAGGTACTTAATCGATTATGCCGAGAAATTTGGAAGACCGGTACGTGATCAACAAACTGAAAGAGATCCATGTGTGTGCCCCTTCCAAAGAAAAGGTGATCTAACAGAATGCAGTAATTATCAAAAAATATCATTACTATAACATGTAAGTAAAATTTTGCTGAAGATAATTCAGGAATGGTTGCTAGAAATTCAGGCCAAATTCAGAAGACGTCATGGAACAAAGGATATCATTGCTGATATCAGATGGATGAAAGCAAAGAATACCAGAAAGATGTACCTTTGTTTCATTGACTATGCAAAAGCACTCAACTGTGTGGATCATAATAAATTATGGATAACATTGCAAAGAATGGGAATTCTAAAAGAATTGTGTTCATGAGCAGCCTTTACATAGATTAGACCAAGAGGCTATTGTTCAAACAGAACAAAGGGCTGTTGCATGGTTTAGAACTAGGAAAGGTGTGCATCAGGGTCTAGCCTTTCACCATGTTTATCCAATCTGTGTGCTGAGCAGATAATCCAAGAAGCTGGACTATATGATGAAGAACTCAGCATTAGATTGGAGGAAGACTCATTAACAACCTGCAATGTGCACATAACTCAACTTTGCTTAAAGTCAAAGTAAGTGCTTCAGGTCTTTGTCACTTCAAAGAAAAAGCCACAGGATTGAGAGCATTGCTTTTTCTAGTTTAGCTGTGATAGGAGATGCAGCTATCTTGATTTAGATGACACTTTAGCTTTCTCTGTACCCAAGGATCTGGTCTCTGCTCTTGGCCTGGTTTTCCAGCTCCTGTAGGCATAGTTGGATGTGGCCAGAGCTGACTTGACTCCTCACATAGCTGCTCCCCTGAAACCAAGAAAACCAAACTCACTGCCGCCGAGTTGATTCCAACTCATAGCATCCCCCTTTGGGTTTCCGAGGTGGTAAATCTTTATGGAACTAGATTGCCCAGTCTGCCTTCTGTGGAGTGGCTGGTGGCTTTAAACCACCAAACTTCTGGTAGCAGTCAAGTGCCTTAGCCACTGTGCCACCAGACCTCCTTCACAGCGGCTCCCTAGAGGGCCAGTTTACTGGTAGAGGTAGGAAGTGCCCCCATCATCTTCCTGGTGGAGGTATGCCATTAAACCACTGCCGTGGAGTCAGTTTCAACTCATTGCCTCCCAAAAGAACAGAGTAGAACTGCCCCAAATTATTTCCAAGGCTATGAATCTTTTCAGAAACAAACAGCCTTATCTTTCTCCCAAGGAGTGGCTAGTGGGTTCAAACTGCCAACCTTTTGATCAGCAGTCATATGCTTTAACCATTGTGCCACCAGAGCTCCTCAGTGTGCCATTAAGAAAACAAATACCACACTGCTTTCCCAGAAAGATGATCTGATTTAGGTGTTTGAAATATTTTATAGATGGTTCCATCACACTGATCGCCTATGCTGTTGTGTTGTTGTTGTTATGTGCCGTCGAGTCGGCCCTGGCTCATAGCGACCCCTCCTTGGGTTTCTGAGGCAGTTATCACTACGGAAGTAGGATGGATTGCCCAACCTTCCTTCTGAGGAGTGGCTGGTGGGTTTGAACCGCCAGCCTTCTGGTTAGCAGTCAAGTGCTTTAGCCTCTATGCTACCAGAGCTCCTATAGCCTATGCTAGTACCCTCTATTCCAGGGATGATCATGCTACAAAAATCAGGAGATTTTTCTGTTCGCTATTGCTGGAGATATTTTTCCTGATGTCATCCTTTATTCCTTACTGCTTAAGTATGCTCTTCTACTAGATACTAATTTATCCTTAATGTATTTTGAATTGTTACTTTTTATCCTGGTATTTTCTCTTATCCAGGCTTTTACTAAGCTTTTCTATTTATTTATTTCCATCATCTTAACATAGAAAGTCTAGCTTTTAAAACTTTTTTTTAAATAGAACACTTACTTTTAATGACATCTCAGTAACTGCAGCCAGTCTTGAGCAGGAAATGTACCATGAGTGCATATTTTAATAATTTTAGAAAATATCAGTTGAGTTTAATTTCTAAATCGAGGTTAATTACTGCCAAGGTAAGAGAAAATCTGTCCCTGGAAATTCACTGTCATTCTACAGAAGTATTAAGTGCCATATGATTTTAAGGAATTTAGGAACCAGTACAGTGCAATGACAAGATCCAGGTTTCGATCTTGGCTACATTCCTGCTTTTCTTTGCTCATATTTTTTTATCTTAAAAATGGATATTAAAAAAATCAAAGATGCACGGAAACAATGGACCTCAGGCTATACAACCCTGAGACCAGAAGAACTCGATGGTTCCTGGCTACCAATGCCAATCATTGAGAAAGGGATCAGAATTGGAGATCCTGGATACAGTAGAAGAACAAATGTAGAACAAATTTTAAAAACATTAAAAAGACCAGTATTACTGATAGGATAGAGACTGGTGAAAGCCTGGAGGCTGGGCCTGGAATTAAACTCACCCCTACAGCTTAACTCTCAGCCAAATAGGCCTACAAGCTAAACAGCTACACCAGGGAGATAGACTCCTTAGAACAATCAACCACAGGAGATTAGAAGGGCAGCATTTGCACAGGGAGAGAAGGAGGCAGCAATGCATAAGCTGGGAGGACACAAGGAAAATGAAACCACAGGGAGGAAATGGGAAGAGAGCTGTCTAAAACAATGGGAAGAGGGATGATATCACCGTCACAAAACAAAATGTGTATGAACAGTTGAATGTGAGACAAATCTGTTTTGTAAAATTTCACCCAAATCACAACAAAAAGTTATTTAAAAAAAAAAAAATGGATATAGTAATGGCTGCTACCTACTTCCCAGGGTAATGTGGGTGACATGAAGGCCTGTAGGTGAAAGCACTCTACAGAATACCATGTGGTCACACTGCTCATGCCTCCCTCCCTGTGTTCGTTTCATATTTTAGAACCAGGCTACTGCCCTGTGAGACTGGGAATGACTACTGGAAGACTTCAGTCTGGGGTGAATACTTTGCAGGGATTCAAAGAGGATAAAAGGAACAGAGTGACTCCAGGTAAGGCTCAGAACTAGTAGTTCATGTTTTTTCCTCCTCTTTCAGGCAGCTAGGGAAAAGCAAGCATAGTTACCGTTCATCGTAACTAACTCTCTTGGTGGTGTTTTCACGTCAGTTAGCTATTTTATTTTCAATAAACTGAAAAAGCAGGTATTGGTTTTCAAATTGAGTCAACATTGGCCTTTTTATTTTTAAAACTTCTCCCTTATGGGGAAAAATTCACTCAAGTTCTGATTTCACAAGTATCTGGGGGAAATGCCTAAGTTATATATACAGGTCAATGAAGTAGTAAAGTTCAAAGACAGTAATCTTTTAATTAAACAAGAAAGTAGATTGATATGTAAGTTGATTAGTGTTGTAGTATTCATTTCTTATCAACAGTGTTATACTTGAATTATGGACCATACAGCTCTTACGCACCACATTATGACTCCACATTTGCAAATATCAGCAAGGATGATTCTGACTTAATCTATTCAACCTATGGGGAAGACTCTGATCTTCCAAGCGATTTCAGGTGAGTCACCAGTTAGTATTCTAAGTACCAGATTTTTTAAAAAATAACAGTGTACATATGTGATTTGGGATAGGCTTACAAAGTTATCCATGTGGTAGAAAGTGTGTTTGGTTGATTGGTTGGTTGGTCATTCATTCATTCATTCCCCAAAATTGACAGGCATTAAATAGATCCTTAGTTATCATTATCCTGTAGTAGAAACTGAATATTTTAAAGAGAGAATATGTCTCCCCAGTATTTTCTGATGTTGGCATCTGCAGTATTTTAATTCCTACAAAAGTATTTTTAAGATACTATATACTTCAACGGGAGCTCTGGTAGCATAGTGGCTAAGACACTTGCCTGCTAACCAGACAGCTGGCGGTTCAAACCCACCAGCCACTCCTTGGAAGGAAGGTTGGGCAATCCTACTTCCGTAGTGATAACTGCCTCGGAAACCCAAGGAGGGGTCGCTATGAGTCGGGGCCGACTCGACGGCACATAACAACAACAACAACATATACTTCAACTGATACTAACATTCAGGAGCTTGTTACTTCAAAATGTTGATGTGTCACCCGATCTATAACATTTCTATGTCAGTGAGTTGTGTTCCCAACATCAATCCATTTTGGGAACCCACAGAGCATTTTCCCCGAGGGATGAGGTAGGATGTGGTGACTTGATTTCTAAGGCAACCCACGTGAGTTTTGTCTGACCCATCACATACCAGATAGACTATTGCAGTTATACTCAACCATCCCTTACTACTTGTTTCTGAGGGGAGATTTCTTCGTGTGTTCCAGTTTAAAATGTGGACATTTTGCATCCCATCAACAAAATACTAGCCTGGCTTTCTCAGGCTTCTGACTCAGAGTGGGACATTGAGCTTGAGTTATTCCTTCTTGGCACTGCATTGGTGGCTTGTCAGCTTTCATTATGTGCAAGAGAGAATTTAACCCTGGAGATTAATAATTCCCCAGTTTTCTGAGGAGGGGGGAATCTTGTTACTTTTAGATAGGCTAAATGTTTTGTTGCTCAGACTAAATTAGAACCAGGTTGGGGTCCCAGAGTTGGAGATTGAGTGTGGGTGAAGATAAAGCTATTTCTATCCTTTGGACCTCTTCTCAGCACCATGACCAAATTCTTTCCAGAGTACATTCATCCATGAATTCCACTACTGAGCATTGCATGCCCACTCTGCCATGCATTCTTCGAGATGCTGGGGGTTTCACAAGGGAATGACACTGACAAAGACCCCATGTCCTCTTGTCAGGTGGTGCTTTAAAGAAAGGTAAAGAAGTAAAGGAAGATAGGGAGTGCCGTGATTGGGAGAGAAGTGCGATTTTAAGCAGGGTGGGTGGTGGTTAGGCACCATCGAGTTGGGGTAGTCAGGGTTAAATAGAATAGTCAGGGAAGGCTTTGCTGAGAAGTGAAAGTTGAGCAAAAACTGATGGGTGTGAGGAAACAAGCAAAAGTCTCAAGGTGGGAGCCTGCCTGATTTTGAGGAGCAGCAAAGAGATGGATCTGTAAGGAGCAGAGCAGGTGAAAGTTGTCAGAGAAGTAACAGGTGGAAGTAGGTAGGTATAAGGACTTGGTGTTTTATTCTAAGTGAAATGGGAAGCTACTGGTGGATTTTGAAGAGAGTAGTGAACAGTCTAGCTCATAATTTTACAAGAATCACGTTGGCTGCCGTGTGGAGAAAAGACCATAGGCGGATGAGGGTAGAAGCAGGGAGACTCCTTTCTAGATGAAAGATGATGGTTGTGTGGACCACTTGCAGTAGTACTTGAGGTGTTGAGAAGCCAGTAGGATTTCTTCTTTGATGAAATAGGGTGACATAGAGAGGTCAAGGATGATGCCTGTAGAGATTGCAGCATGAACCTAAAAAGATAAAGCTGCTTGTAGAAGAGGAAGATTTTGTAAGGAGCTGCTTTGGGGAAAAGAGCCAATGACGTAATTTTGGACATTTTTAATTGAGATGCCTACTAGAGATCCAAATGGAGCTGTCCAAGGTGTATGGTCCAAACTGGAGACATGACTTTGAGAGTTTTTTAGGGCACATTGAAAGTTCTGAGCTTAATAACACCGAAGGTAGAAATTGTGAAGGAGAGGAGTGAGGAGCTCCAAGGACAGCCCTTGGCCTTCCATCAGTATTTTTCTTTGGAGAATGCCCAGGAACATTTCATTTTCACTGTGTTCTTGGATGATAAATTTATCTCTGGTAAATAGAAAAGTGTCATGCCTAGACATCCCATTTTCTATTATGGTGTATAAACTAAGAACATCTAATGGAAATATTTGGTTATGTAGAAAGATTAATAAGTCAGTGGAAAAGATTTCTATGAAAGTGACATTGCCAACACTCTCTTTCAGCATCCATGAGTTTTTGGCCACATGTCAAGATTACCCATACGTTATGGCAGATAGTTTATTGGATGCTTTAACAAAAGGAGGGCATTCTAGGACCCTACAGGAGTTGGAGACGGTAAGAGCCTTGCTAAAGAAACAGCTCTGAAACATTAGTCATTCAGTGTTATGAAACCATGGTATTAACCAGTATGACAGCTGAACTCTGTTCCCCTAAAAAGACAGCCCAGCCTGGGTGGAGGCTGTGGGTGGAGGACAATGAACGGAAACAAGTAACTTGGCTACCAAGATCTGAGGGCCAGAGGATTATCATTATTTCCTCATCTTGGGGATATAGTAGGATTCAAAACTGGGGTTTACAACTTAAAAATTCAGCAGGTACTGTGGACTCTAACAAAAGAAGTCTTGCTTACAGACAACAAAGCTAAAATGGTAAGAGGTTGGACTTTAAGCAGCATTAAAACAGTGATAGGAGCTTCCCTTTTTTGCTGTTTTCTGTTATTATTCAGTTGAAGATAGTTGATAATTCAGTCTTGGCTCAAAGATGAGAACCAGAACCTACTGATGTTGAGAGTTCACGGCCAGAGTATTGTGCCATAGTTAGAAGAACCTTGAATCTCTTGGAGATCAACTCTGGGTGGTAGCCAGAGTAGTCATGTCTTCTGCCCACAACTACACCTGTGGTTGCCATTCCTGGGGTGACTTGTCAGCAAAGCTGAAGTGGGTACCTAAGTGTAGGGTTCAGGGTTAACTGCTGTGAAGTCCTAGCACATGCCCTGCTTTTGTCACATGACCCTAAAGTGTATCAGACTGGACAGCAGTTCAGAAATGCGTCCTCCCCATCAGTCTGAGTTGTCTTTAACAAAAGTTGAGTATCTTTTATTTGGTCAATAGGGCAGTGTGTTCCAAAAATTAAAGGTTCTGTGTCCTTTGATCAAGCAGTTCCTCTTAGAATTTATCCTAGAGAATAAGAATATATGTAAGGATATCATTGTAACATTGTTTATAATTGTTTTAAATTGGGAATTGGTTAAATAAATCACAATATACCTTAAATCAAAATATACCTTTCAAAAAAAGGCACCAAATCATTGATGCCCATGGTACATTTGTCTGTTGTCTCTGAAGATTAGGATCATGGGAAACTTTCACATTCTCTGTAGTATTTGAATATTTTATAATCTCTGTAATCAGATCAGAGAATATTGCCTGTTAATGCAAAGCAGTCCTTAGAGTGCTCATCACATGCACCTGTTACTAAAAACAGGTATTTATCAGATACCATAGAAATACCAGTCTTGAAGTCACCAGTAAATAGGTACCTGACCCATAATGCTAATAATTGTATTGAACTCATTTTCTAATACTTCAGTCGCTTTCTTTTTGTATGTTTTAACAGAGTTGCTTTTCTTTATCCTCTAGTCATCAGCTGAAGATGAAGCCCAGACTAAAACACGGGACACCACAAGGGACATGGAGGTGATTATGTTTTATTCTTTACAAGAAATGTAAATGGAGAACAAGCTTTTAAAAGAAAAATATTCGAGTACCTTGTGAGATCAAAGGACTGTGTTTTGTTCATGGTGTTCATGGGGACCTTAGTAGTAGCTAATGCAGTAGGCAAGCCTAGAACCAAGGGAATGGTACAGTGTCCGTGCTAGGAAAGTACAGGCTGTGGATACAGCTGAACTTTCAGAGAGGAAATGTTCTGGGAATTGGGTGGAGGAGTAGGCATTCTCTAAGCAGGGTTGTTGTTACGTGCCGTCGAGTCAAACCCGACTCATAGCGACCCCTCCTTGGGTTTCCAAGGCAGTATCACTACAGAAGTAGGATTGCCCAGCCTTCCTTCTGAGGAGTGGCTGGTGGGTTTGAACCGCCAGCCATCTGGTTAGCAGGCAAGTGTCTTAGCCACTATGCTACCAGAGCTCCCCTAAGCAGGGTAGGGCCAGGTATCTCGAGTGACAAGAACTGCATGTCTCAGGGCATGGTACATCTGAGCGAGCAGGACAAGTGTACTGATAGCCCTTGTCTACCACATCCTGAGCTGTCGTGGTTGCAGTGGTAAGTAGGTAGGATTTTATCCTAGAAGATAGGGTGCTGGGAGAGACTGGGGGACCAAAAATGACTAGCATGACAGTGTAAACTATGGGAACTGTATTAGAACTTAAGTGGTGTAGTGAGCATGATTTGGGAAACAGCTCCAAGATTGAGCTGTGGATGTAGAAATTGTTGGTTTAAAGGGGGAATTTTGTTTCAGCATTAGCATGGAGATTATCAGGATGAACATAGAGATGAGGTTGTTGTTACGTGCCATCGAGTCAGACCTGACTCACAGCAACCCCTCCTTGGGTTTCCGAGCCAGTATCACTGCCCAGCCTTCCTTCTGAGGAGTGAGCTGAGGTAGGAAAACCTTAAAAGAAGAGCCAGGAGGGGAGAGTTCAGCAATGTCAGATGCTCCATGGAAACATAGTTAGAAGATGACCAGCAAGGGTCATTGCTGGGAGGGCAAATAAAGACAGATGTACACAGTAAAGGAAATTTACACAACTATGTTTTCAAAGAAAGAGGCAGCAAACAAGGTCACGTGCTTACTGAGGGGGCAAGAGGAATTTGAGAATAGGAAAAAGACTAGGATTGAGGGCTCTGCTGAAATGGCAGACCATACATACGTACTGGTGCCAAGTTGTACAGTTACACAACTTTTCTTTACCACATTCTTCTGTAGCCCATATGTAGGTAAGAAATCAGGTGTTGAATTGATTACTTTTAAGTTTCTGGGTTCATTTAATCCTAAAAGGCAATGTTGCAGTTACAGAAACTCTGAGTCCTGTGATCCCAGAAATAAAACTCCCCCCTTGTGAAGATTTTGTTTCTTGCATGCAACACTGACATCCTGGCTTTGGGGCCATCTGGGAAGCATCTTATGGAAGAGATCTGCTATAGGAATGCAAATGTGTGGGCTGGAACCTTACCTTTGTAATCTCAGAAATAGGCATTGTGGGAATCACCAAAGGCACTTCACAGTTCAGGCAGCAACAAGGCTCGGTGATTATGGTAACAAATGATGCAGATTATATACTGCACATCATTAGATCACAGAGAAGTGTGGATTTATGGAGGGACACTTTTTTGCCAGGATTTGAAATGGCATTCCAGGTAGACATCATTTTGTAGGCATCAAAAGTATGACTCCAAAGTAAATAGGTGGGATAACTTTGAGCTATTTTACTTATCTCCCATTGTCACGGCTTTGCAGATTTTTTTTTAAATTATTTTTTTTAAAGCAGCTTACAGAAATAGAGTCGGCAGAGCACTTGGACTGCAGCAACCAGGACAGGCTCGCAGCATTGAAAGCCGTCATAAGCTTTGGCGCTCCAGTTGAGGTTTTTGACTGCGAAGGTGAGACTATCTCCAGATGCTTTGATGGAAACATTATACAACACAGGCAGTCGAGACTTAATGTCTCATTACAGATCAACATTGCCTTTCACTACAGCAAGATTTTGGTTAATGCCTAAATGAAGAGTAAAGCATGCCTGTGGTGATTTTATCTGAAGGGGATTATTCCTTTAAGAAGGATCCCTAGAGGTGCAGCAGTGGAGGTTCCAACTCATTCAGCTGCTCTGTGAGAAAAAGACATGATCTGTTCCCTTAAAGACTAAGAAACCAAACTCTCTGCCATCGAGTCAGATCCCACTCATAGTGACCCCTCCTTGGGTTTCCAAGGCAGTATCTCTACAGAAGTAGATTGCCCAATTTTCCTTCCAAGGAGTGGCAGGTGGGTTTGAACTACCAGCCTTCTGGTTAGCAGTCAAATGCCTTAGCCACTATGCTACCAGAGCTCCTTAAAGGTTACAGCCTAGAAAACCCTGTGGGGCACTTCTGCTCATCACATGGGGTTGCTATGAATCATAATCTACTGGACAACTCCTATCAGAGATAGCAAAGCCCCAGACAATAGGACTCAGTATGTCCATGTGTTCTTCAGTGTCTTTTTCTTTAAACCACCCAGAAGCTGAAGTGTTCCAGAGGAAACTTGATGAGACAACCAAATTGCTGAGGGAGCTCCAGGAAGCCCAGAATGAACGTCTGAGCACCAGACCCCCTCCCAACATGATCTGTCTCTTGGGTCCCTCATACAGAGAAGTGCATCTTGGTATGTGATCCCTTGGGTATGAGGAGAGAACTTGCTGGGTAGTGATTCCACTGTAAAGTAATGCTGAGATCGTTCACACAGTGGAATTTTTGCATTGATCAGAATGAATCATTTCCGTACCTAGATCATTCTCACTTTGATTCTTTTCTTTTTAGCTGAACAAGTGACCAATAATCTCAAAGAACTTGCACAGCAAGTTACTCCTGGTGATATTGTCAGCACATACGGAGTTAGAAAAGCCATGGGGATTTCCATTCCTAACCCCATCATGGCAAACAGCTTTGTAGATTTAACAGAAGGTACGTGCCCTCTTTCTCTGGGAGTAGAACTGTTTAGCCCTTTCCGATAATAATGGACCAGTTGTCTTTTTGTGTATTTTATGTATAAACTACTTTCCTTTGCATCTAATGAATTATTAGATTTACCACCTTTGCACTTTGCAGTAACAGCTACAATGACTTCCACACTTGAGTGTTAAAAGGCCTGATTGCCACTTAGTGTTCTGGGCGCTAGCTTTACCTTCTCACTTTTTTGATTAGAAGAAAAGAGAATGCTGACTGAAGGAAGGGGAAATCAGACAATTTATCTTTTTGTTTCAGATTTAGATTTTAAAGAACCTAATAAAGAACCTAACAAGACTGGTGTTGCTGAATGTGGACCTGATGGGATTTGAAGCTTGAAGCTAACTGGTATTTGATTATATATAATGTACATATTTTTCATTCTTACCTTGGGAATGCTTTTCAGAGGATATTAAATATTTGTAAATTGTGTTTTTAATTAAATTTTGGAAAAATTAATGTTCCAGAAACTGGACTTCTATTAAGTAATAAAGTTAAACCTGGGACTCTGGATTACATTATGCTATTGCTATCAGCTGAGTTAGCCCCATGACCTTGCCAGAGCCGAATCTGAAGCTGTAGTGATGAAAGGAAAGCAAGAGAAGCTCAAAAAATAAAATCATCTTTTCCATAACTGTCCTGTCAATTTAAAAGAAGTCCCCAAAACGATTTAAGTATTAAAAGGGATCCCATCTTAATGATTCATTCTCATATAATCCTTAAGTTTCCAAAGTAAAAAACTTTGTTCTCGAGGTATACGATAGAAAAATCTCAGCAGATACAGGGACATTGAAGAAAAAAGTAACATCTTAGAATTTAACACTAGGGTTCAGCCTCGTAATAAGTACCTGATGGAAATGACATAGGAGGATTAGGTGCTCAAAAAAAGCAACAACTAAGTTACCCAGCATTAACGTGTCCCTTTTACTTTTCTTGCTGGTTTGAAACTATTGCTAAGGGATAAGCCAGAGAAAAGAAACTTAAAGAAACTTAAAACATCTTTGAAGAAGACAATTACCAAAGTTAAAGACACATTTACATTCAGTGTACTATTTCTCACAGGTCCCCTGCATCTCAGCCCAGCCCAGGGAAGTAATCCTCACCTACTGTCACCTGAAGTACAAAGATCAAGTGTCCGAGCAGTTTAATTGTTTAAGTAGGAGACATACCCAGGCACTGGACTAGGAGATGATTTTTCTGAGTCTGGTTCCGTATAACCTGTTTAGTCTAAAATAAAAAAGGATAAAAATTCAGGATGCATGGAACTTAGATCAGTAAGCAAATTAAGTAACAGATCTGCTAAGATCCTGCCTACGAAACACCCAAGGAGGAACCTCGTGCATTGTGATTGCCCCTTAATGTGATTGTTCTGAATTTGAAAATTAATATTTAGCAAAAACAAATGCAGTGAAGGAAAACTGATTCCAGAGAGTGAGAGAGTTAAAGATGACCTGAGACTTTTAAAAATTGGTTGGAATATATTTCCTGCAGTGACTCTTGAGGTGTTCTTGTTCCTGAAGACCAAGAGAAATGGGGCCCATTCACAATGCTGCAGGGCGTTCAGGTTTTCCACATTGCTTATTTAATTTATGAAAAGCAGCTAAACAAAGCTATCAGTTTAGAAACACTGGTGCTTTATAAAAATCAAAAATAATGTTTGGATTAAAACACGTTAAATAAAGATCTATAAATACTCAATATACAGAATAACCTAGTTAAGTGCATGCCCCTTCTCAAGGCCTGTTTGTGTGCACTAACTGTGTGTGTGTGTATGTGTGTACACACACACACAATATACACTGGCTGATGTGCTGCTAGGAAATCTTCAAAGTAAACCAGACATTGTTTTTCCCTTGAGTCAGTGAGACCACCATCATAGTAGAAACTGAAACCTTGACCCATAGAGTTCCTGTCATAAATAAAATAACACCTGTGAAGAAAGTACTTGGTAATTAGAAAACACATTTATAAAAATAACTGCATGTGACTTTTATGGTCAGTTAGTATGCTATGACCTAAACACTGAAAACTAAAAAGCCCAGTGCTTTAATTGGAAATAAAGAATATAGATGTTGAATGGTAACAAGTTACTTTCAAACTCCCAATTGGGGCTCCTGGTGCTGGAGGAAAAAGGTGACTTGAATATTGCAGTGGAAAGCCACACAGCCATGTATTTCTCTCTCCACACTTATGTCAGCAAGAGACTCGCTTCCCAGGAGCATCCCCACGGGGAGCCCTGAGCCCCTGAATTTTAGGAGCATAGACTTCATTGCGATAGTCTCCTGAACCCAGCCCTTTATATGAGAAGTTAGATATAAAAAAAGCAATGTAAGTCAATCTTACTTCCTTTACCAGAGTTTTCACCATAAAATTCCTTTAAACAGCAAGTTCTTCTAGCACATTCTAGTTAAAGGCAACACAGGGCTGCCAGTAGCCCACTTAGCACCTTTGTGCCAATTAGAAGCAGCTTGCCCTTTTTCAGGCTATTGAAGCCCAGATTGGTACACAGGGCAAGCTGGCAGTGTATTCAGTGCAGTGACAACTCACCCCAGGAGCCCCTCAGTCCCAGGCCAAGCAGGATGGTTAGTCACCTGTCTGCAACCCTGTGTAAACATTTGAAGTCTCCTGCTCACAAGATTTTCTGTATCACTTCAGGGAGTTCAGAGATGACCTCAAGGATTCCTGCCAGCCTATCGGGTTCTGCTGTATCAGAAATCCCGAGGGCGTTCTCTGGGAGTCCTTACCCTCCGTCGGGAGGCAGGGGAGCAGTTGGGCTGTTGGTCACCTCACACGAGGTCGCCTTTTACTATCTGTGGAGTGAAAGGACTGGCTTCCCAGATGCGGCAGCTCTGCACATGCTAAGTAGATCTTTTCAGTTTTGAAGTTTTTAAAAGTTAGGATTCAGAAAAGGAAAGAAGTACTGCACGTTTCCAGGTTCTACGTACAGACTCCATTCCTTTCCAGTACAAAAGCTAAGGTCCAGTTGAAGATTACATGGGAGAGCTCAAAAACACTGAGTAGTCAGAGAGAGGCTGAAAGGCTATAGCTTATTTTCTAGGCTTTCGGCTTCTTGACGCTAACCCCACACGCTTGCATCACAGTTCTCTGATTCACACCCAAAGCCTGTCTGCCTTCATGCTTTGAGCCACATTCCTCCATGGCCAGGCTGACTTCACACGGTTCACAAGCTAATCCCATAAGCTTAACATCGGAGGAGAAAGATTTTTCTAGCATCTGAGAAATCATGGAAAAGGAGAAAGCCTTTGTTCATAATGTATCCGTTTAAGATAAGCATGCCAGAGATGGCTAGAGGGAACAAGGGTCACTTCAGACTTTACTCTCTCCCTGTTGTTTGAAACCATTTACAGATTAAAAACACTTTTTCATCTCATCAGAATGCTTACGTGATAAATATAGAATCCAATAGCTTGTCCAGATGGGAGTCCCCTACCCATTCCAGACAACATGTTTTAGTCCTCTCTCCTTTGTACCTGGAAAAACCAGTGTGTGTTCACAGGCCACTGCGGGGGCATCTGCCCCGGCTGTGCTCTAAGGTCACCTCCACAGTACCTAGGGAAGGAGGGGGAAACCAGTACAACAGCAGAACTAGAGACCCCTTTGCTACAGTCTTGGAGACTGTGCTTCAGCATGGCTGGGGGCGCTTTGAGCTGGGACCTGGTGCACATGTCCAGAGATCCTCCAATGCAGTTCCAAGGAGTCAGGCGCAGCCTCTGTCAGGTGGGTGATGGCCAAGCTCCCTTTGGATGTCTTGGTCGCTGGCGTGGTGCTGGTTCTTCTCCTTGGCTTGCTGAAGGGCAGGAACACACTTTCCAGCTTAAGCTGAATCTGCCGCAAGCTCTCAGTTCAGCCCCAATCCTGGGAACTTGGCAGTATCTGTGCAGACGAAATAAGTCCTCAGTTCGCCCTTGCCTTTGACGTTAATCAGTCCACGGCACTCACAGGAATAACCCAGTTCTTGCAGGATGGTACATGTCTCTTCAGTAACCTAAAAAGGAAAGAGGTCAGCAGGAAGCCTAGTGGTGGGGATCGACAGAAACTGACCAGTGAGCAGTGCACGTGCCTGCTTTCACTCAGGGATCGTGCAGCGGACTCACAGAGGTGACGGGTGGTAGAGCCAGGGCACACGCCCTGACCTCCTGGCCTCCGGGGACATTCTCCCCCCTCTCGGTTACCTGGATTTTCCCAAGTTCCCCAGTGCTCTCCATGCGGCTGGCAACATTGACCGTGTTTCCCCAGATGTCGTACTGAGGTTTCCTCGCCCCAATCACTCCAGCAATCACAGGCCCGTGGTTGATGCCTGAGGAGAAGCTTTGCAGTTAGCAGATCTCGGGCTTCAGTTCTTACAGAGGCCTCAGGATCTACCCCCAACCACCTGCTAACTACCAGGAAGGGACTGAAGGGGTGGGCTGGAGCAGTGCTGTCATGGGCCTGAGGTCTTACCTGGGAAATGAGAAAGGCATTCTTAGGCACTTCTTTCTCAGACTTCCAGATCCTCAAGGAGAAGTCTGGGTCTGATCTTAACACTTGTCTAGTACCTGCTTATCTTCCTTTTAACAAAGAATAAATGGGCTTTGAGCGCCAGCCCTTTTAGCTAACAGTAACTAGTTAGATTCAATAACTTTGCTTTGTTCTCCCTGTATTTTAAGGTCACCTGTTTACAGTAGGCGGTTTGGGATCAGTGGTGATACGTTAGTTAGTTGAAATTTTTAACTTTCAAGTGGTACGCAAAGAAAATCAGAATCATCATCTAGCTCCTTGGATTTTAAGATCAGGTGAGAAGTTTTTAACAATTCCCGAACAGATGGCAAATCCCAGCTTCTGCAGACAGACTGAGCGTGGGCTTGCCTGGAAGCAGGGTCTTCCCTGCGCAGTCTGCCCCCCCAGATCTCAGCCCGGGCCCTCACCAACTCGGAGGCGGAAGTTGTTGAAGGAGTGCCTGTTGATGCCTTCCAGCTTGTTCATCAGGGCGATGCTGAACTCCACCATGATGCCGATGTGGGCGTGCTGCCGCTCCAGGTCCTGAGAGAGACAGCCTGTGGACTGGGGCCGCGGGAAGCCACCACGCTGCCTTCCCTGGGCTGGGTGTGAGTTAGACTGCAGCCCAGAGCACCCTAACCTGGAGCCCCTGTGCCCCCAGAAGGCAGCTCTTAGGGGTCTCCTGTCTGCCCCCACCACCACCAAAACTCTCCCAGCTGAGCAATCCAAGTTCCTTTACCCCTTCACAGGACAGAGGCAAGGGAAGCCCCTTTAAATAAGGTGACAGGTGTGGGGACTCTAAAGTGAGGCTGAGACAGTGCTGCCCCCAGACCAGCCAAGTACCTGGTTCTCATGCCCCGAGGTGACGCTGAGCCCTGCAGCTGCCATGTACGTGCTGCCAATGGTCTTGATCTTCTCCACACCACTGAACTTGGGCTTTAACAGCAGCTGTGGACACAGGGAAGCAGAGTGGGGCAGGGCCCAGGTCTCCACAGCTGCAGCCCAGGCCTGTCCCAGATTCTGTAGCAACAACTTGGAGCTCCCTTTTCCAAGATCTCAGCCATCACCTCTGCAGACAGTCTCATAACTGGCCTTTTCCATCAGAGCTCACAACCAAGAACAAGTGGGGACATGGTCTCTGCCCCCCCCCCAGCTCCTCCTGCATTCTCCTCTTTAAGGGGCAAAAAGCATCATCTACACAGTCCTGTGGATTAGCTGTTTCTAGCAAAGAGTTAAAACTGATTTCCTCTGAAATGAGTGGAAAGCATGGCTAAGCTGGACCCCACATCCAGTGTCGAGGGCCTGGGAGCCTGGCACAGAGAGCTGTTGGCCAGGTATTTAACAGGCAGCAAGGTATGGAAAGGCCTATACTGTTGGATCATCTTTTGTAAGGGGTGTTTCCCCCCAGGGGGCTGTGTCACCTGCTGTCTGGAGTTTCAGATGTCCCGTGCCCCACACTGCCCATGGGCCAGGTTGGGTCAAGAGGCTGTGTACCTCGTCAAAGTCCGCGATGATCTCATTTAACAGGCGCAGGCATTCCAGCCCTTCTTTGTTGATGTCACACTCGGTGTAGAACACTTTGAAATCCGGCACAGACGCAAACATGACACAGACGCAGTCATACGACTGGTGGTACCAATCCTGGATTCGGGGAGGGAGAGAAGCTGGCCGAGGCAGCTTCAGGGCTGTGTGCTAACCTAAGCCTTTAGTAGAGATTAGGAGTTCAATGGTTCTCAGCCCTGGTTCCCCACGGGAATCAATAGGGAAATTTCCTCATCAGTGGGGCCAGGCTCACGTCTTTGTGCTTTGAAGCACCCCCAGGGATCTGTGGTTAGCTGGGGTAGACGGAACAGTCAGGAGACGTGGGTTCTACACGCTCTGCACCACTACGTAGGTCACTGGAGCTATCTCCTTGTTTATTGCCTCTCCTTGCTTTTTACAAAGAACTAGTGGAGATGTAGTTCTTTTCATCAGTACAAAAGTCCAGATTACAAATACCTGGACACCTTTGATCCTTACAACAACTCTGCAGGTAAGTTCTGTCAGCCCTGTTTCCACAGATGGGAAAGTCAGAACCCAGGGAGGTGAGGTTTCTTGTCCAGGATCACATTTGAACCCAGAGCTCTGACTCCAAAGCCTGTGTTCTTACAGCTCTGCCAGGAACTGACCAAGATCAAGGACCCTTCTGTCAACTCCCCACCTGAGCCCCTCATCCCACCTCATTTAACTTGTCACCGATGAAGTGGGCGGCCACGTGGGCTGGCAGGACATTCTCCAGAAGAAGGCGGTTCACATTCTCCATGGTCTCAAACTCCTCTTGTTCCTTCTTGAACTTCTTCTTCCACAAACAATCCAAACGGCAGTAATAGTCGATCTGCACAGAGCAGTGACGGTTTCCTGTCTGTACACCGGCGGGGACGGAGACACCCGCTCCGTGGCTGGCAGGGCACAGTGGTGACATCTGGGGTACTGAGCCATAGCTTAGTACTGCCCTCCTGTGACAGTGGCCAACCTTTAACTGGACAAGGCTTTCCCAGAGGCCTTAACATTGCCAGTGTTCTACCAGCAACAACTAGTAGTTGTGACCCATGAGTTTAAGTCTGTTATTTATGTCCTGCTGGGAGGTGGCACAGGGAGGTAAGGCCACTGACCTAGAACCCCTGACCCGGGGACAAGAGCCCTCCCCTTGCAGGCCTGTCTGCTGTCCTGCTCCAAACCTGAGGCAGTCCCCATGCCATCAGCTCTTCACCTTTCCAGATGGAGGTGAGGCAGGGCAGGCCACCTTGAGCTACGGACACACTGGGCAGTCCCCACTCTACCTGTACGGAGAGCATGACGAGGGTGACATAGAAGAGAACGAGGTAGAAATTAATCATCGTCTTCACATCCCTCCATGAACAAAGCGAGCTGTGGAACGTGAGGCAGAAAGGCAGGATTCGTTTCCAGTTGCCATGAGACACCTCAGGATAGGTGTAGCTAGTCCCCACAGGCAGGAGGTAGTGTGTGCTTCCCAGAGGGCAGAGTGGGAACAGACCAGTCTGACCTCTTAATACTCACACTATAACGGGCAGACAGGAAACAACCATTTCTGATTGTAAAGGAGGGGTGTAGGGAGAGACTGCAGGTGAGGGGGCCTTACTGGGGTCACACTTGGATGGTGGAGTCCGCCATGGCAAGGTCTGAAGGAAAAGCCCTCCAGGCAAGGGAAGGAGCAGCCAGAAGGTGGCCCGGAGCTCTTCTAGAGCCCAGGCAGGGGAGTAGGAGGGTAGGGACCGGGAGATTGAGGAAGGATGAAGATTCCTCCATCTCCAGAGACCAGCAGGCCAGACCCACAGAGCAGACTGCATTGTCGGCCTCCATGCTTTCCGTTTGGAGGGAGCCAGGCTCCTCTCCTAAGTCTGCTTAGAGCCCAAGGCCACCGTGCACACCCTTGCCTCTCCATGCCACTGATGTCGCCCCTGTCCGGGAAGGAACCAGAGGCAGCTGCCCTTTCTTAGAACCCGGGGATCCAGGACATGGCCCGCAGAGGGACTGAGCTGGAGCCAAGGACTCCCTCTGCAAACCTAGACTAGTCCGGAAACGGCCTCCAGGGGACCCAGGCCTTTCCCAGACAACCTTCAAATGAGCCACACTCCCCCGCTCTTCGTGTGGGGTACCGAGCAAGACCACACTCAGGCTGGTCTTCCCCGGGCCTCCACTTCCTTCGGTAAAATGGAGACCCTGCCACCTACCAGCCCCAAGTTCCAGTGCAGGTGGCACTGTGAATGCAAAAGCACCCACGTGTGAAATGGCACCAACATCTGGGTACTGCACTGGGCCAGTCGAGATGTGCAAGGGAGCTGGGATCCCAGAAGCGAGTGGCTTTGGGGGCCTACCTGAGGGTGTCGTTGGTCTCTGTGTGGTTGCCCAGGCCATAGCCACAGCAGTCCCATTTCCAGCATGGGGAGATGTTGAAGAGCACCAGGTAGGCCACCAAGGCCACGGTCAGCAGAATGAACTTCAGCTCCAGGCTCATGCGCAGGAAGACGGAGCAAGCAACGAAGCCCAGGATGCAGCTGCAGGTGTAATACTGAGGGGTGGGGGGGTGTTACTCGGGGGCCAAGGTCACCCCACCATTCCACTACCCAGAAGCATGCCTTCTGGGCCAGCAGCCCCCACGAGGCAGGGTGCCTTTAGTGCACACTGAGCCTGCCTCAGAGCCCCTTCCCCTCCTGGGGGCTTACAGCCACTGGAGAATGGTGTCTTCACCACCACCTGCTCTCCTTGTTCATCTCCCACGTGAACAGCGAGCAGGCATGAAATCTGAAAGTTCATTTTGTTTTCATGGTTTTCTCTGATTTATGGCAAGTGAGCTCATTTAAAAGGGGAAAAAAAGGTCAACAAAAATGGAGGTGATGAGCGCACAGGACAAGCAGAAGTCAAGGCGTTGGCCACGTACAGCCTCGCTACCTCAGCTTCTGCAGGGAGCTTGCCCTTCCCAGAGTGCATCTCTGCCACATTACTCCCCTCTTCACGCTCATGCTGTGGCTCCCCACTGCCCTCAGAACAAAGGCCCAACTCCACCCTGATCCCTGATCCAGACCAAACCTACTTCCCTGGCTGCATCTCACAGTTCTCTGCCATGCCCCTCTCGCACCCCCTCCCAATTGCACAAACCACCTGAAATCCTCCAGCTCCCACCACCCACCTCGTCTTTTTCTCATCCTGACCCCTTCTCTACCCTTCAGATAAAGCCATCACCCCCGAAGTCCCCATAGCCCTCATTCTGTCTACAATTATGACACTCCAGGTAGAGGGAAGCCTAGGGTACTGGAGTCAGGCTCCCTGGGTTCCTGTCCAGGCTCCACACCTACACAGGCAAGTCAGTTACTGCAGAGCCTTGCTACCAAAACCAAACCAAACTCACTGCCATCGAGTGGATTCCGACTCAGTGATCTGCCCCCCCCCCCTTTGGGTTTCCAAGATGCTAAATCTTTACAGAAGTAGGTTGCCAGTCTTCCTTCCAAGGAGTTCGGGGTGGGTTTGAACCGCCAACTTTCTGGTTAGCAGTCAGATGCCTTAGGCGCTCTACCTTACCTATAAAATGGAGGTAATGACGATGCCCGACAGAGCACATGATGAGAGAGCCCACCTCACCCCCTCAGGTGAAACACACAAAATGAGACAACTCAGTGTTCTCCAGGCCCTGCCTGGGTCTGGCTTTTGCCACCTCTCCTCAGCCCTTCTACACCCATGCTGGGCAGTCCCAGTGAGCCTGCGAGGATAGGCAGCCCTGCTTGGATGCGGGACCAGTGCACTCACCAAGAGGAGCTCACATGACATCCGGCTGCTCACCTCCCTCAGGCTGGTCTCATTCATGCCAGGCGGCCCCAGTGCTGGGAGAGGCAACAATGGCTACAGAGAAGAGAAGGCCTGGTTAGGGTCAGTCGAGGGGACTGTGACCTGCCAGAGTGTGCAGCAAGGCAGAAAGGAAAAGTGGGGAGTGGGCCAGAGGACTGGACCCCGTGGCCATGATGAGCACCCACAGTACTGCCAGGCTCGGCTCCAAGCACTGCCCAGAGCAGCTGTGCCCAGGTCCACAGCAGACTTGGGAACAGGGGGAGGGTGCAAGAGGAAGGTACAAGGCTCCACCCCCAGAGCATCAGAGGCCAGATCAGCTGAGGGGACAGCAAGTTTGATGCCACCTTCTCTCCAGATGGCCTTGAAGGAGAGGGCACAGGAGCACACTCCGATCACTGAGGCTCTAGAGGATCTAGGAGGAGCTCTGGTGGCGTAGTGCCTAAGGTACTAGGCTGCTAACCAGAAGGCTGGCAGTTCAAACCCACCAGCCACTCCTCGGAAGGAAGGTTGGGCAATCTACTTCCGTAGTGATACCGCCTCAGAAACCCAAGGAGAGGATGTTATGAGTTGGGTCTCACTTGATGGCACATAACAACAACAGAGCATCTAGGAGGTGGGGATGGGGAGAGTGCTTGATCTGGGGGAGCCAGGACAGAGGACGCGTGCCACACACAAGCCACTGTCTGCAGTGCTGAGACTAAGCCCCGGGAGAGATGGGCGGAACAGTCCCCACCCCAGCTCGGGCCCCTAGGGACACCTCCTGGTGAGTGTGAGTCTCGGAGAAGATGAGGCAGGACAGTGAGGAACCCAGCTCCTTGGGCTATGGATGACTAGGACATCAGGGTCATAGTCCCATGGGGTTGGCCACTTAAGCTCTGGGGGCCTAAAGTCTCCATTTGGAAAACAAAGGCTGAGGGTCCCTATGCCAGAAATGGGAAGATGCATCACCCACCCACCCACCAAGCTCTGGAGAGGGTTACAGCTGGTAAAGGCAACAAGATGGCAGGATTGTAGCACCATGAGGCTCCCCACTGGACGCCTGCTGCCACAGGTACGAGGGACCCACCAGGCTGATGATGGCGACAGTGAGGAGGCTGCCAATGGTCAGGATGGCCAGGGACACCCTCAGCAGGGGCTGAGTCTCCACCCTCTTGCAGATGGCCCGGAGCATCCCTAGGGCTGGGCAGCACCTCTGTGGAGGAACGGAGCCAAGTCACCCAGGGCTGGGACATGGACCAGGATGGAGCCTGCCGAGGGCCGACACATGAGGCCAGGTGCACCTTGGCCCAGAACAGCTCCTGAGAACAGAGACTGATGTCTCCTTCCAGTCAGGTGGTGGAGGCAGCAGGCAAATGCTCATTAAATGTGCAGACAGACAAGACACTCCATCAGGGGAGCCAAGGACAGCCACTGAGGGAATTCCAGCAGGCACGGGGAGGCAGAACTTGGGAGAAGCTTCCA